ACCATGTAAATTTATAGTTAAATATTCAGAAACAGTGAATAAAATTTATATTAAATAAATAATAACTCAAATCTTGCTTTCAGTTTTCCATTCACAACTGGCTTGATACAATGGTTTTCTACAGTTCTGGGGTTTTCAGAAGATGAAAACTTCATTGGCCTGATAAAGAGCATGCTACTGGAGCCGCCGTGGATTCTAGACAAGTCAGTGTAGACTTAGGCACAAGTGTTGCTCAAGAGTGGCTGATCACCTGCTTGGGTGTCTTTAAGACCTAGGAATCATCGTGATGTGACTTTGAAAGAGAAGTCAGTTTTATAAGCTGACTTGTTTCCTCATTTTCTAAAGCTAAGCGCTTTGACAGGCTTAAAATGCTAAAAGGAGTTTTTTAAATCTACATATTTAGATAAAGTTACTGTACTGGAACTTGTAATTTTAAGTCTGATACTGCCTTTTGAAATTTCCATGATCATTACTGCTTTTCATGTTACTGAATATGTGTTCATTTTTAACAAAAAAGATACTAGTGTCTCTGTTTTGCTTGCTTCAGTTCATAGTTTCTTAAAGAGATTCCTGGGAAATCTACAGAGGCCCAAAATCAATTAATTGGAATCTAGTTAACAAAAATTAATTCTTATAGCACTGAGTTATCTCCTGTAAACAGACATTCTAGTGTACTTCTCATTTACCTCTGAATCCACACTGTGTCCTTAATTACTGCTTTCATTGGGCATAAGCTTTCACTTCTGTTAAGTGTATTTTACTGTGTGGTATAATGGAAAATTTTTCATGTTAAACAGGTTGTATATCTCCTGCCCTATGGTGTAAGCAGAGTACAAATTTGAATGTAGAAGAGGTGAATGCACACTGACTAATCAGTGCCAAAAACATCCTTAAAGCTTTTCTTCTGTAACAAGTGCAAACTTAGCTTAAAAGTTTGTTTAAGTCCTGTTTGGAATAACAAGAATCTTTAAACTCTATTCATCTGTGACTATGACTATACCTGACTTATCGCCTGACTTCAGCTCAACCCCACTCAGCTCAACTGCTCTTCCTGCCTTATACAGATGGTTAAAATTCTTTAAGGCTTCTGGTGAAGACTGTAGGGTTTTTATACTTAACATTATTTCACAGCACCAGAAGTTCATAGTTCATGAATATCACAGACCTACAAAATAAAATGGAAGGATTTTCCTTTATATACTCTACATCTCTTTGTAGTCTGACAATGTAGTTATGTCATATTTGGGTGGTGAGCTTTTATTTTAAAGCAGCAATCATATCACAGCAGAGTAATTTTATAAAATGACAAAAAGAATAACAACAAAAAGTATTTTGAAAAGTCCTTTGTGGTCTTAATCTGAAATTAAGACAATGAAGGAAATTCTCCATGGGCAGACATGACTACATTCTAGTTTTTCTCTATATTTTTTAAGAGGAAAAGCATCTCGTATTACCGTCATTTCGTCCTTGTTCTTGTCCTCGGTGATCACCTGTGCAGAACAGTGCTGTCATTATTTATCTTGTGATTTATCCCATAGAGTATGAAATGATTCTATTTAGTGACTAAACTGATTTGATTAACTCTTTTTCTATGGTATTGCAGCTTTAATATTCTTATTGTATGTACGTTACCATCAGGCATCAGTTTTTCTTAGCTGCATAACATCTTCAATGTCTCACTTTGTCTTGCACAGTTTTCTACTTAAAAATACATACAAATGATTGATAGTCTAATTACGTCACTGTGTTTTGAGGTAGTTTCAGTAAACTAAATTGTTGTAATATGTGGTGTTTATGCTCTCACTGAGAGGTAGTAAGTGCCTTTTCTTACTTTATACTCAGCTGCCACAGTTTTACGGAATTGCTAACTTGGCTTCTTAGACTTAGAGAGGGACTCCCAAGTGCCTGGTCTCTGGGTCTGGTCTCCTGCCTTTGCCTTTTGTTAAGATATACACCTGCCTTTTGAGTGACAGTGCCTCTATGCCCTGATGCCTGGTCAGTACTGAGATACTAGGACCTCTACAGTGTGGGGAAAACTGTCATATTAGCACCCTCTACTCTGCCTTGCCCTCTCTGTCTTTTACGCCATTCTTAGATCTGGTCTGCTCCATTGAGTTAATCACATTTAAAAAGTTAGGCTCTTTTATTGTTGCTGTTGTATGTGTATTTTGTTTTGCTGTGTTTGGAGACTACTAGGGAAATGAAACTTCTCATATATTCTTACAAAAAGCCCAGTCCTCTGTCTGAAGTGTGAGCAGCTCTGGGAGAGATGGATTTGGGAAAATGAAGAAGCAAGTGTTACCTTCTAAGCCAATGAGATAATTGATCAGCATGCTGGAGTAAGTCAAAGCCAGATCTCCCTCACATCCAGGTGTTTTATGCACTTACTGTGCTAAGAGCACGGAGGATAGCCTGTGCATTAGCACAGTTTTGGGCACATAAGTACAAAATAAATTATATATTTACTGTCCATTTGGGAAGTTCCATATCTCCTAGTTAGAGAGGACAGTAACGTTTATTGTCAACCTGGAATATTTGGCCTCCACTATTTCCTGCTTCTTAACCATTAGTGGACCTTGGCAGTTGGTCTTGCCATCTCAGAATAAAGAATACTTAGGGAGATCCTAATAATACATATCCTGATACTCTGTGTAATTCTGCTTACAGCTTCTCTTAATTCCAGGATCCTAATAATAGAAAACTGTTAACTTCTCTTTGTGCAAGTGTAGTCATCCTACTCTCTTGACAGTTTCTTTACTCCCCATTTAGATTACAAATACACAGGGCCTAGGACCATGTGTGTCTTATCCTTACTTCGTAATTCCCTATGGATAAGACAGGCTGGCTTCTTACATTGTAATCTAATCACTTACTTAGAGGCCTCTGTATTGTCGAAGGTGATGGATTGGCCTTTCAAGCGCCCCAGCCCATACATGCCGGTTGTCTTGCGCATCCCCATCACCTGCTTTCCTCTGAACTCTATTTCTGTTCCAACCAAATGTGCTCCTGCTTTTTTTCTCAGATCACCCCACTCCCACAGCCCATTAAATATACTTTTAAGGAGATGTCAAGACTTCCCTTAAGAATATGGGCTTTTGTTGGTGACAGCGCATAAGCGAGAGCAGGAGATCAGCCCCTCCGCAGATGAGGTCTGACTGAGTACAGAGAAAACCTGCATAGAGAGTACCCAAGTCAGCTTTAAAACACTTCAAGCTGATATAATCTTACTATTTTAATTAGTAAGTGTTTTAGCTACTGTGTTTCAACTCAGTTAATATAATAAGCTTTCCTCAAATTCAGTTGAAATTTTCTTCAATTTACTAAGAAGATTTTTAGTCACCTAATGAATCCTTTCTCTGTGGTTCTTTTTTGCAAATGGACTGATTTCAGTATGTGGGCCTTAATTTATATAATTGCTCTCATATTTCTCTTTGTGAGCCATGTTTTATTTTGTTTATTCTGGTTGCTTTGTAAGTTTGAAAAAAAATAGCATGTAGGTAGATCTGGAAAGAATAGACATCAGCAAAATTATTCTTAAGCAAAATTTTGTATATTGAAACTTATCTCAAAGCAAGATGGAAGTCTTTTCACTATTAATGCTGCAGAGGTCCACTTATTTAACATTAAATGAATATTTATTGGCTTCCCACCTTATGCCAGGCCTAGTTTCAGGTGCCCAGGATCTCCAGTGAACTAGACAGACAAGGACTCCTGCCTTGCACCAGTGCACGCTGTGGTTGCAGTGGAGGTGCAGACAGAAGACGAATTATCAGATACACCACTACACCACCTGTAGAGATAGCAGTTGATTTCCCAATTCTTTTTCCTGCTACCATTGCTTTGAAGCCATGTCTGCAATCACGGTACCTGGAATATTAAGTTGAATTTGGTCTCAGGGTGCTACACCTCCCCATCTAGTAAGAGGTGTTTAAGGGCCTTATTCTAGTACAGAATAGAAAGTTTGGAGAGAAAGGTTGGGAGGATCAAGTTTTCATGGTTAAACTGGAACTAAATACACTTTACTCTCAGAATTGTAGAGATGGGAACTCATTACTCATCCATCAGACATTTATTCAACAGTGTATCAGTCAGGGTTCTCTTATGTTCCAGGCTTTATAACACCCACCTGCATGCCCTTAAATGTCTCACACTCTAGTTGGAAAGATAGAGACATAAACTAAATAATTACAGATAAATGTTATAATGAAAACATATATCAAGTACAAAGGGAGTACCACAAAAGCAGTAACTAACTCTGCCTGGGGGAAAGCTTTACCATAAAGTGACCTCTAAACTGCGACTTAAAGGTGACTGGAAATACATCATGCTTCATTTAGTCATGAAATGTTTACTGAGCATCTCCTGTGAGCGAAGCACATTTGTAGGCACTGTAGACACAGGATTGAACTCAGCAAAGTCCCTGCTTTCTTGGCAGCAGAGAAATAGGCAATAAATATATAGGCAAATAATTATATAGTAGAAAGTTTCATTGTATATGTAAGAATACATATATATAATGAAAATGCCAAAAAATAAAGTTCAATAAAGGGGACAGATGGTGATAAGGGGTGCTGTTTTAGATAGTGTGTCTAATGTGATGACATTTGATCAGAAGCCTAAATGACATGAGAGAATGAGACCAAGAAGCCAGGGGAAGGCATTTCTGACAGAAGGGACAGCATGAATAAAGGCATAGTAACCATAAAAAGCATGGTGTCTTCAGTACAAAGTGAGATATTCTCACTAAGCATGCAATAAGGAGGGATGCAGGGAGTTGGGTGAGTGTGGTAGATGAGGCTGGGAAAGAATTGGAGGGGAGGAGGGGCCAAATGGTGCAAAGCCATGTGTTTCCATACTCAGAGGTTTCCGTGTTCACGTTGTTGATTGGGGAAAGAAGGGTAGATGTTGAAAAACAATGTAAGAGGAAAGTGACGTGGCTACAATTTTGGTTGTTCAGGTTTGATCTGTAATTTTGATGAATTACTCTAACAGCAGTATGCATGATAAACTTGAAAAGAGATGCAGATGAAGCCAATTATGAGGTTATTACGACAGCACAGGTAAAAAATAACATGGCCTAAATTAATACAGTAACATGAGGCTAGAGAGGAGATAGTCAAGTTCAGATGTTTTGGGAGGCCCGTTGTGTAAGATCTGATGCTCTATGAAGCATGGGAAAGGTCAAAAACAGTTCCTAGGTTTAAGCTTGGGTGACTGAGTGGGTGATAATGCCATTAACCAGGTCAGGAAGCTCTGGAGGAGAGGCAGGTGTCTAATGCAGATGATGAATTTTATTTGGGACAGTGGGAAATACAGAACTGTAAGTTAAAAGTCATGGCTGAAATACAAATTTGGCTGCTACCAGCATTTAATGGAAATTTTAAAAGGAGGAGGAGCAAGAAGATTGTCAGGTACTGCACAGAAGCTTAATAGCATGAGGATTTTTTAAAAGTTATCAAATTTGACAATTGGAAGGTCACCAATGACTGCAAGAAGACCATTTCAGTAGATGTGGGCGAGACAGAGCCACATCATTATTGAATTGGAGAGTGAAGATCTGAGAGGCTGTGATTGTCCAGCCAAGGTCACTGTCTTCTCCCCTTTTCCAAAGCTCCTCCTTGGAAACTTTGAACCTGATGTCAGATCTTCTCTTCTCCCTCCCTCCTTAGCTTTCTCCATCCATGGCCTAGGACTTGATGCCTGAACTGGGGAAAAATATCCTAAGATCCTTGGGTCACTGCTGTGAGAGGGGCCAGGATTAGGGAGCCTGCTGTTGGTGAGTCAGGGATTGCAGGGAGCATCCTCAGTAGGGACCAGCAGGTCAGGCCAGTCCAGAGACCTGTCTCCAGAGGGGAAGAAAGATGAAACACATAAGTCTCTATTATGGGCTGAAATTCTGGACCTGGAAGCTGGAGGAGGATAAGGAGCAAAGGACTTGAAGGGCTGGTGGGGAAAACGTGGAATTAGTCAAGAAACTTGGCCCCATTTAGAGAATGGAATCTAGCAATGGGTAGGGCTGAAGGGTAGAATCTGACAGCAAATTGATGTTAACTAGAAATTTAGGCAGGGATGTTTAGGTTTTTTAGGGTCCAGGGAGTTCAGATGTTTAAAGGAGAGACCATTGGCAGTACTTGTGACCATAAAGATAACAGTGAGCAGACAGTTAATAAATTGTGTGATAACCCCAGAAATACCTGGCGTATAAACATGTAGCACACATTTTTGAAGCCAAAGGGGTTGTTCAAATTTCGTGGAGGAAAGGAATTAGCTGTAAGAGTTCTGGAAAGCTGTAAGTAAATAGCTAGGTTCCCTTCAGGGATAGGATGGAGGCAGTGACTAAAGGATCCCAGACAGCTTGGAAGTGCAAAGCCCAAGATGGAGACTTGCATCTTGGAGGGAGTTGGAAACAAAGATCAGAGTAGAGGACACACCCCCTTAACCCTGAAGGCCCAAGGAATTAACCAGTGAGTCTACCAGATTTACCCACCACCGCATATACCCTTTGCCTGTTTCTCTTGTCTGCCTACCATCTCTGCCCTCTGGGGGTGAGGCTCCAGGGCAAGGCGGGTGCTGTTTTGTAGCCCTGTGCTCAAGCCATCAGTTCCTACTGGACTTCTGCTGGGGCTGCAGTTTTACACCATGATGGGACACAAGGCCCCAAACTAGTCCCCTCAGCCAATAAGTGGTGAGTGTGGGCCCAGAAGGCCAATGCCATTGTGCATTTGATGCTCCAATTTGGTTGAGTGCCCATGCGGCCCCTGGCAGCCTGATGGTCTGGCCAAGGATATAGATGGGATGGTGCCTTGCAAGCCCCTGGCCAGAGTTGGCGAGATGGGGGCCTGGTTCCAGAGCCCCTCGGAAGGCACCTTCCATGGACCCTACATCATCCTGCGGTGCTTCCCGAGGTTGGAGCTGCCCAAGGATGTCTCGGCCATAGAGAAAGAGATGGAGCAGCTGGCCAAGGAGCTGAGCCAGAGGAGGATGACCCTTGGGTACTTACAGGTGAAAGTGGGGTTTGCTCTGGACGCTCTTTTTGGAAAGGTGCTTAGCCGGAAGACCATCTCCCTCTTCAAGGCCCAGCAGTTCAGCCTTGCCAACATGTGGAAGCAGCAGCCAATGCTGAAAATGTGGCTGGAGCAACTGGACACCATGAGCCTTTTGGGCTTATGCAGAATGGACATGATCCTGCAGCAGGCCTGACAGTGGAGACAAGCAACCAGGGAGAAAGGCACCTTGGGAACAACCTGTAGAAACTATTCCTGCTGTGGCCCAAGCTCACACCCCAGCAAATCAGTTGCATTGCTGGACAGCTCTGGCTACCCAAGGACTTGGTCCAAGTTTTGTTTCATAACCAAAGCAAGATGGGAAGTCTGCCAACTAATGATTTCTCCCCACCACAGCAGGTGGGGTGCCAGGCTTCCTTTCCCAGGGGGATCATTGTGCCTTCCCCTAGCATCGGGGCTTCCTTCCAGCACCCCCCAACTAGAGGGAACCTTACTTTATAACCTTGCATTCCTCATCCCCTTTCCTGAGGGAGGAACCCCTGTCTCTGCCCTGGACACCACTGAGGTTCTCCTGAGGCTTTCCAACTCAGGGGCCTGCCCTTCTGGGAGAGATAAGCTGGGGAAACTGATCTCTGGGGTTCACATCAGCCTTTAGGTTTAAGGTCTCCATTCACTGTCTGAAGAAGTTAAGAATACACATGTAGCAGATGGGATGAGAGTAATTGAAGAAAACTTAGGAAGTTGAAGTTTATTGCTGCTTGTGTTTTCCCTTTTGTTTTTACCTAACATTGGTTTTAAAGTACAATACATAGATGGTTTTGGATATTTCATTTCTTGTTTTATTAATTTAAAAAATCCTATTTCATAAAGAAAAAACATGGGTGATTTTGAGGGGCGCATGATTTGGAAGTTAATAGATCCCTACAGTTCTTGGTGAAAGCTAAAACACGACATTGCCGCTGCAGGAAGTGGTAACATCCCAAATGGAGCAAACGTGTCACTTTCTGGAGGACAGCACGAAGATGATGTCGCAAATTTGAGAAATAGTTCTGTTTTCTTTTTCTGTTTTTTAGCTTCTATGGAATTTGGCCATGTTGGTTTTATAATTGTAATAAATTTTACTTTAAAAATAAAAAACAGCAAAATAGAACCAGAGACATGGAAATAAAGAACAAACTGACAGTGACCAGAGGGGAGGAGGGAAGGGTGGTAATGGGGGAAAGAAGGGGAAGGGGCAAGTCAAGGAACACATATAAAGGACCCATGGACAAGGAGAGTGGGGTGGGGGTTGACTGTGGGAGTCGGGGGCAGTTGACGCAGGGGATAGCAACAAGGGAGAGAAATTGAGACAACTGTAGTTGAACAATTAAAAAGTTAACTGTTTCTTATTCCTTGTGGTTATTAATAAAGCCAGGGTTTAATTTTTAGAAACATGATTTTGAGTGAAAAACTCAAATCATGGAAGGCTTCCTATAAAATATACCATTTTTATCAAAAACAAGCAGAACTTCATGTAAACCCAAACACAAAGTCCAGGATCTTAGTTACCTTCAGGGGGAGATTTGAGGATGGAATAGGAGCACCTAGAGCCTACCCCCAGAACATGATTTCTTGTCCTCTCCTTCTTGAAAGTTGTGGGGTTTTTTTCTAATTCACCTTTTCACGTAGACTGCCCCAGCATTAAGTGAGGGTCTCAGTTCAACTCTCCACCTTACATAGTCCGTCAGGTTTATCTCCTGTCCTGCCGCAGCCATTGTATTGCAGATCCTTTGTTACTGCGATTGGCAAACTGAACAGCAGTGGCTCTGCTCCATCTTACTTCTCTGCTTTTCAACTCCTTCTGGTTTATTCCCTGGGAATTTCCATTACTTTCTCTTGAGCCCATAGGCTTTTCAGAGTATACTCTTGATTGTTGATCCAACATTGCCCAGTGGTTTTTATGATGGTACATCTTAAGTTGCTTTTCCAATCTCTTCTGTGAAATCAGTTTTTTCCAGGTTTCTGCTTCCCACATTGGTCAGTTTTGGTCATCATATACTAAACAAATACCATTCATCCCTCTGTGTTTTCACATCTGGTGCCATATACCTGCATGTGATATTTATTGTTTTATAATTTATCACTATGTATTATATCTGAGTTTGTGTGTTCTTTTTGCTTAGTAATCTTGCCAAGGTTTTTCTTTCACTACTTTTCTTCCCTAATCAGTCTTGCAAAGAAGTCATTTCTCGGTGTTGTCAAAGAACAAGATTTTTTATTTTTATTCTATTTACTACTGTTTTTATGTCCTTCTTAATTAACTTAGATTTTATTTTTATTAATGCCTTTTTTTTTTGGTTTCTTCTGATTTCTTTCAGTGTATACTTTTTTCTTGTTCTCAGTGTCTGAAGATAGAGCACTGGTGATACACATAGGTTAGTGAAAATGGAACTGAACTTCAGTTGCTTGGCCTGAGAGTTAATAGGTGACTAATCACTTACTTTTGGATTATCCCACTAAAAGTCACACAGCACCAAACCCATTCCTTCTATTGCTAGCCAACCTTTCTGGAAAGCCTTGGAAGGGAGATGTTCCTGTAGAGGGTGCCATAGTGCTTATTGCCAGGATGAATGACTGGGACTGGGCTTTGAGGAGGGCTCGGAGCCAGGCTGCTCCTTGCATTCCGTAGCCCCTGCAGATTGGGAGAAATGGTAATGGCTCTCAGTCTCAGGAAGCCGCACTCAGGGTCTGCCTACGCACCTGCACAGCGGCACCGTTCACATACCTGCTGCACCTCTGCTTAGGTGGGCACTGTTTATGTGTCCTAATCAGCCTTCAAATAATGTAAAATGAGATTTTCCATCACTGGTACTCGACCTGACTGTGAAAGAGAAATGCTAGACCTTGGGGGAACCTTGATATTTTAAACATTTCAGACTCTTCAGAGATTTAAGATTGATGGGTAGAAACCCTAAGAATAAGATCCCATACTTCCGGTCAAGATGCCAGCATAGGTGAATGCAGCTTGCCTCTTCACACAACCACAGCAAAATTACAGCTAAACTGCAGAACATATATCACTCAGACCTGTCAGAAAATTGAGCTGTATAGAAATCCAATAACTAAGGAATTAAAAAAGAAAACACATTTATCCAGACAAGTAGGAGAGATGTAAGGGCAGAGATGCAGAAATGCGGAACTGGCTGGTCCCAAGCACTTGTGCGGTGGATATAAAATGAAGGGATATTTCAGGACTAAAGGACCCAAGCCCCACACCAGCCCACCCAGCACAGGGTTCCAGTGCCAGGAAGGTAAGTCCCCATAACTTCTGGCTGTAAAAACCAGTGGGGTTTGGGTTGGGAGAACAAACTACAGGATTCTCAGGCCTCTCCTTTTAAAGGGCCTTGCACCGCATACAGACTTACTCAGACTCACTCCCGCTGGGGTCCAGCACCAGGGCAGCACCTTGAAGGGCACCAGTGGCATATGGGGAAGAACTGAAGTTTCTGACATCAGGGCAAGAGCTGGAGGACAGCTTATACCCAGACAGAACTGCAAACAGTGACCTTTTGTACCTTTTCTGAGCCCTCCCCCACACAGAGCCACATTGGCCAGCACCATATCTGAATCTGCATCACCCTGGCTTACATGGTAAGCCCCACCCTGGGGACTACCTAAGGGTCTGCCCCATCCAATTTATGGGCCCACCCAAGCTGGTAACTGGCTTTTTCAATAAATAGCTGGGTTAGCTGCAAGCTTCAGGCCTTCCTAAATCTTCTCACAAGCAACAGCTGAGCCCAGCCCCCTTACCTCTTGCTGAGTGGCCCCAGGCCCAGCACTAGCAGCAGCCATCTACACATCACTTTATAGCTTACAGCCAAGAGGCCCTAGACAGAACACAGGTGCAGGCTGACCTTGCCTGCACCACCCAGGAAACCCCAGAGCCTATGCACCTAGTGGACAGTTACAGACCACATCGGAGCACCACCCAACCACCTCTGCAAGCCACAGTGGGAGGTAGTTGCTGGCTAGGGGTCACAGCCAGTCCTTCCAGCCATCTGGATTGGATAAATCCCTCCCATTGACCTGCTGACACCAACCAAGATTCATCTACAAGAAGAGGGAGCACTCAGCCCACACAGAGGGTGCACCTCCAGTATACAGCTTGGGAGATAGGGCAGTCTGTGCCACTGAACCCTATAGGACACCTACTACATTAGGCCACACTAGCAAGACTCAGAGTCAAAGTAGCCCTACGTAACACATAGAAACAAATGCAGGGAGGCTGCCAAAATGTGGAGACAGAGGAATATGGCCCAAATGAAAGAACAGAGAAAAAAAAAAAAAACCAGAAAAAGAACTAAACAAAATAAAGATAAGCTATCTACCAGATGCAGAATTCAAAACATTGGTTATAAGAATGCTCACGGAACTCAGTTGGTACATCAACAGCATTAAAAAGATGAAGTCAGAAATGAAGGATATACTAATTGAAATAAAGAACAATTTACAGAGAATCAGCAGTGGAGTAGATGAAGCCAAGAATCAATGATTTGGAACATAAGGAAGAAAAAGACATCCAATCAATAGAGCAAGAAGAAAAAAGAATCCAAAAAATCAAGGCTAGTGAAAGGAGTGTCTGGGACAACTTCAAACTTTCCAACATTTGCATCATAGGGGTGCCAGAAGGAAAAGAGAAAGAGCAAGAAATTGAAAACCTATTTGAAAAGAATAATGAAAGAAAGCTTCCCTAATTTGGTGAAGAAAATAGACATACAAGTCCAGGAAACACAGAGAGTTGCATACAACTTGGACCTAAAGAGAACCATACCAAGACACATAATTAAAATGCCAAAGGTTAAAAAGAGAGTATCTTAAAAGCAGCAAGAGAAAAGCAGAAAATTACCTACACAGGAGTTTCTATAAGACAGTCAGCTGATTTCTCAAAAGAAACTTTGCAGGCCAGAAGGAATTGGCAAGAAGTATTCAAAATGATGAAAAGCAGGGACCTGCAACCAAGATTACTCTATCCAGCAAAGCTATCACTTAGAATGCAAGGGCAGATAAAGTTCTTCCCAGACAAGGTAAAGCTAAAAAAGTTCATCATTACCACGTTCTTATTATATGAAATGCTAAAAGGACTTACTTAAGAAAAAGAAGAAGATCAAAACTATAAACATTAAAATGGCAATAAATATATAACTATCAATAATTAAATTTTTTTTAAAAAACTAAGCAAACAAGCAGAACAGAAACAACCATAGATACGAAGATCATTGGGATGGGGACCAGTAGGGGAGAGGTCTGGGGGAGTGGGGGAAAAGGTGAAGGGATTAACAAGTACAGATTGACAGGTACACAATAGGCAGGAGGATATAAGAGCAAGAATAGGAAAGGGAATTGCTGAAGAATGTATGTGGACCCATGGACATAAACAAAGGAAGTGGGATCACCAGAGGGACTGGGGGATGTTTGGGTGGAGTGGGGCAAATGGGGAAAAATTGGGACAACTGTAATAGCGTAATCAATCAAAAGAAATCAATGATAGCAATACTAGTAAGATCCCTCCACACTGAAAAGGAACCACCCTTAGAGTTGGGAGAAAACTGAGTTGTAGTGTCAAGGCGTTTACAGTCTCAAATGTATAGACATGAGGTAACATAAGAAATCAAGTAA